TCTCTCTCTCTCTCTCTCTCTCTCTCAAATAAATAAAAAATAAAAAAAATTAAAAAAAAACAAATATACTGCCCATAGCATTAAAGATCAGTAACCCATAAACAATTATAACTTTATTCAGAAATATTTACTCAAAAATTTTAGTGGAAATCTTTATTTTATTTATTTTTTGTGGTAATGGTGATTGAATGCAGGACCCTGCACTGGTCAGGCAAGCACGTATTCTACTGAACTATCTCCCCAGTCCAATTAGTAGAATTCTTAAACAGTGAATGAGAATGTAATGGCTCAGAATCTGAAAAGCAGGCATGGGAACACAACAAGTACAGCTGTAGGTCTATTTATTTATTTTAAGACAGATGCTTGCAAAACTCAGGACTTCTCGAGTGTCTGAGATGTCTAGGTTCAAGACAACATTACAACCTCCAGCCTCACTATCCCAGAGTTCTGAGGTCAAGTGTGCACACAAGCATGTTCAGAAAAACAATACATATGCATTAATGTTTATGTAGAGGGCCATATATAGCAAAAAATGTATGTCGTGCAAACCATTTTCTATCACATCAAAATGGTTTTTAAAATTTCTAGGTATGGACTAAATATAAAGGATTCAGAATCACACTGACATACAGGATTATATTTGTTGCCTTTTTAAATGTGAAAAGAGAGAGAGAAAGCTAAAAGGAAGGCAAGATAAAAGTGGGCAGGATGATCACAACCCCAAACAATACAATGAATTATGACAAATAGAAATTTACAAAAAATCAACTTAAACACATGAGAACTGCAGCAGACACAGGGGCTGGGGGTTCAATCCCCAGGCCTACGATGCCTGCCCTCCCCCCAGAGTGCACTGAGACGGCAATTGAGACTGGGCGTGGTGGCACACATCTGTAATCCCAGCACTTGGGAGGCTGTAAATAGGCAGATCAGTAAGAGTCGGATCTAGTAGTGAGATGCTAAACACCCTGTAGAAACTTACCCCCCCCAAAAAAAGACATGAGAACTACAGTTTCTAGTGAACACTTTCCTAATGGAAAAATAAGGCTCATTGTATAATAAGGATATGAAGACTATAGTAGCGTATAGTATCTGGTATCTGACTTCACATATGGTTCAGCTTTGACGGCAGGCCCAAAGCCATATGTTAGAAAACAAACATATCTAATGATAAGCAGACTTCTTTTTCACAGAATGTGTTTTGTACCTGATACCAGTAAGAGAATTTTTCTCTGGTCTTAACAAAATAATGTATCACTTCGGGACAAAGATGCAGCCCATCAGCCCTGCACTGGAGGCCAAGATGGAGAAGACATCCATGGCCACCATGGCCTTACCCTTGCTGCTGTGGTACACAGGCAGGAATTTGACCCACACACTGCAGAACACCAGTATGCTGAATGTCAGGAACTTGGCTTCATTGAATGTGTCAGGCAGGTTCCTGGCCAGAAAAGCCACGTGAAGCTCACCAGGGCCAAGAAGCCCAGGTATCCCAGGACACAGTGGAAGGCGGTGAGGTAGCCTTTGTTGCACACAATGATGATGTGGTCATGTTCTGAGTGTAGGTCTGTGTCAATGTGGGGTGGATTTGTGCCCATCCAGATTTCACAGAGAGTGAGTTGGATCAGGGAGCAAATGTGGATGATGAAGTTTGGTGCCCCTGATAGAAGCAACTGCCTCATCATCCTGCCCTGGGCAGTGAGTTTGAAGACCAGCACCACTGTAAAAGTTTTTGCCAAGACAGTGGAAACAGCCACAGTGAACAAAACTGCAAATGTGGTCTGCTGGAAAATGCAGGTGGCTGTGTTGGGACGGCCGATGAAGAGCAGGGAGCAGAGGAAACAGCAGGTGAGGGAGATGAACAGGGTGTAGCTGAGAGCCCAATTGTTGGCCCTGACAATGGGAATGTCTCGGTGCTTCACAAAGAGCCCAAGAACAGCAGCTGTGAGAAAGGTGAGAGTCAGGGTGCTACCAGCCAAAGCTTTTCCCAAAGGATCTTAGCCAGAAAAGTCACAGCTTTTTGGAGACAGTGCTTTTTCTGAGTGTTGGCATACTGATGGTCTGGACACGTTATACATTGTCCCATATCTAGCAAAAATTAATCACCTGCAGAGGTTTGCAATTTTTTGTTATTGACAGACCCCTTTCTAGCACTTCATTGGACCTGAACTAATTTGATACCTTTCAAATTTTTAATCTTTTGCCTTGTCTTTTTTCTTTTTCAGTGATTTGGATTGAACTCAAGCTTTTCACTCTGATATAGACCCATCACTTTTAAATTTTATTTATTGTATCAGGATCTTGTATTCACCTTATGTTACTTTATTGCCACGGTTCCTTTCACACAAAAAATGCAACTGTCTCTGCCTCCCAGTCCCTGGATCCCAGGACATGCGTCCACATCTCATTTTCCGTTTCTTTCCAGGCACAAAATAACAGAATGCCATGTGGAGAGTAACTCCGAAATAATACTGAGTGAATAACTCCTGAATAAGAACAGTACTTAGAAGTGCTACTACTTATTCTCCTTTTATGTCTCCCATATCCATGAAATTTTTCTCTTTTTACAAAGTAATAAATATCTATCTATCTAAATCAAATCTTTGTAAATTATTCACCAGGTTATCATACAGTAATAAATCCGATATTAGGAAACCTGTATAATTTCCTAAATTTCAGGAAAAGCATATATTTGAAAAAGGATTTAGTGTCATGTAATTCCTTCATTGAGCATCACTATCTGTCAACATGCTCTCTGCAAAGTTCACATTTAGTTTTTATTGTCTGCTGACTTTCCACAGAGAGTGAGCTGGATCAGGGTGCAGATGGGGATGATGGCGTTTGGTGCCCCTGACACCAGCAACTGCCTTATCCTCCTGCCTGGAGCAGTGAACTTGAAGCCAGCACCACAGTAATGGTTTTGGCCAAGGCAGTGGAAACAGCTACAGTGAACAAAAGTCCAAATGCCATCTGCTGGAAGATGCAGGTGGCTGTGCTGGGAGAGTCAATGAAGAACTTGACCACAAACGTAGTTTAATGTTGGTATCTTTCAGAATCTTTATAGAATGTTGGAATTTATATTTAGTGATTTTAAAAATTTGAAAAAAAAATCAGATTTCAAAATTTCTTTTATGTATCTATTATACAGACCATTTCTTCTAAGAGTGTTTCTCAACATATTTATTTATTTATTTTGTATAGGATCTTGCTACACAGCTGAGACTGATCATGATCCTCCTGTCTCAGCCTCCCCAGTGCTGAGATTACTGGCTTGTGCCAACAGGATCATTTCTGGTGGTCAGCAAAGCAGGCCCGGGACTCTGGGGCCAGCACAGCATGAGGTTCCAGGGATTGAACTCAGGTTCTTGCACTTGCAGGCAAGTGCTTAGACCACTGAGCTATCTCCAAAGCCCTTTTGTAAGCGTATTGTGTTCCATTAACGTTAAACCCAAGATAAATGTACTAATTACCATGGTCTTATACTTACAAACTAATATCAAAAGAAATGCATATCCTTCATATTTTCCATTTCAGTACATATTCGTGTGAGTGTGTGTGTATGTGTGTGTGTGTGTGTGTGTGTGTGTGTGTTTCTTAGTTTAATTGCATTGGCCATGACACAGAATGTAATGTCTTGCCGAAGTGTGACACAAGCATAGGGAACACCTTGGTTACTCTTCAGAAAAAGAATTGACATCTACAAAATATAACAAAATGAAAAAAGGAATCTGACTGCCAGAATTGAAAGACCTAATCCTAAACTGAACATCTGACATGAATAGACCCTTATCAGAACAAGTACAAATGTCACATGAATCCATGAAAAAATGTTCAGAATCACTGAGCAAGATAGTCCAGAGGACGAAGCCCCTGATAAGGCAAACACAGTGACTAGAGTTTGAGCCTCAGCACTAAATGCTGTGCCAGCACCACCCCTGGTTGCACTGAGAAGGCCACCAAGACAGGGAATGGTGGCAAACACCCGTAATCCCAGCAATAGGGAAGCTGAAAACGGGAGGATCACTAATAATCCAAGCTGTGTACTGAGACTGTGTACCACATACATAAAAAAGACATACATTTGTAAATATCACATTGTCTCTCTGGTATGAGAAATGGAAAATGTAAATGAGAAGCAAAATTTACAGTAGATATTGTGAAATAGACAGAATTTGTCCAAATGGAAAGGGAAACTGTAGAGGGGGGTGTTGGAAAGAAAAGATGTAATGGAAAGGAAAATTTAAAAAATGAGAATAAAGCCATAAAATAAAAACAAAGATTTGTAAATAAGGATAAAAGAGGGTTGAAGAAGGGGAAGAGATAGGAGCAGATAAACAAATCAGGATATATCACTACAGATAGACATTCTCTATGATAACTGTGATCATTATTCATATCTAAATTATAAACTTAAACTGTAAATTAACTTAATTTAAAAATTGGACCACAAATCATAAAGTGTATTGCTGTATCCCTTATATATCATACTTTTTCTTACTGAGAAACTTTTTTCCAATGCGTCAAGAAACACTTATGTTGTTTATTTATAAATCACAGAGATATGTACTTTTCTTTATGATCTCTAGTATTCTACCTCAATTTTCTTCCTCCGGAAACTGGTACTTTAATTATATTTGATAAATGGAGTTTGCTCGTGGCATACCATCTCTGAAAAATATAACTAGATTTTTAAAAATTATGCAATGAGATTTCTTGGTTAGGCTGACAGGATCTGAGGCAGGAGAGTCTGCAATGGCCTTGCTGCTGGAGACCCAGAGAAGCCCATCACTGCTCTCAGTCTGAGAATACAGAAGCGACTGAACAAGAAGTTTCTAATATGCAGGACCAGCCCAAGGCCAGGCCTAGAATCTCCCAGGGGAAGCATCTGTGCAGATCTGCCTTGGGATATTGAAGAACCTAGAGACCTGGAGACAAATGTCCATAGATGATGGCACCAAAGGCCCCCTACACTTAGTCTGGGCTCTTCAAATTGGACACACTTCCTGCATCTTTCCCTATTTATTGCATTAAAGTTATAACCAATCCACATCTGCAGTTGGCCTTCCCTTCCCAGTTTGCTTGGCTTACAATACAATCATCTCCAGCTGCACCCAGAAATATGCTTTACAAACCTGATAGATTCAATTCGTTCTATTGGCTATATCGTGATTAATAATCATAGTCATGACTATGAATTATTTTTTATTTTAATTTATGTTATTTTATTTTGAAGAGTAAAAAAAGCAAACAGAAATAGTAGATGGAAAGACAAAACAGGATAACATACAACAATATACAAGACATAGATTTGCAAAACAAGTATAGCAAGTTATCAATGGTTCTTATATTACCTATCTTTATCATGAGTTATGTTGATCAGATTAACAGACATAGTTATGTTATGGTTATTTGATCAAGATTGGACACATCATTGAATATTAGCACTTTATTTCAATAAATCTTTTTTCCTTTACACTTTTACTTTTTAAAAAAATTTATTTTAAGGAGAATAGCATAATAATTGAAAGGACATTCAAAATGGTATATGTTTAGTAGACCAGGATAAGTGGTATTCAAGCATGATTTTCGTATTACATATTGCTGTCCTCAGTGTAGTTACTTAGATCACAGATATCAGCATAGAGTTAGTCAAAGTGAAAATTCTAAACATTAACTGCTGTTTTCAAATAATGTCTGTTATGGTTTCCCACCCCCAAAACCTCATGTACTCATAGGTGGACCTTTTGGGAAGTGATTGGATAACAGGGCATAAGACTTATCAGCGGATAACTCCATAGATGAGTTTATAGCTGGATGTGATGGTGAAAGAAGATGTCTGGTCAGAGGTAGAGGCTCACGGGGTGTGACCTGGATGTATCTACCTTTCTCTTCTTCTGAGCTGTCTGATTCCTGCTGCCTTGGCTCGAGCAGCTCTCTGCTACTCTGCCTCCCTGCCTCGGAGCCAACCAATTGTAGATTGAATACTGTATAAATTATAAGTCAAAATAGACTGCTCTCTCTTAAGGATGAAGTTATGGGTATTGGGTTATTGTCCCAGCAGTGAGAAACACATCTGTGCAAACAGACTGTATATGCACATACTATCTTGACTATATAGCATGCAAACGTTGCATCTTTATGAAAGTTTAAATGGGAATATATGAAAAATTACTCAATTATTATTGTGTCATAAATCTTTGTTCTAAGCACAATAAGGGATACAAAGCATACAATATCCAGTATTGAAGATGGAGGTCTCTGTCTTTTACAGACCTGCATCATAAAGACCCATTGAGTTTGCGTAAGAAGGTGACATTCGTAGATTGCGTATATTGTTCCTGCATATGTAGCCTGTATGCACAGAATTGTGGCTCTGACTTGGCTGGGAAGCTTCACATGTGTTACAACATAATTAAAATTTCCATTTTGCTAGTAAGTAGACTTTGTATATTACTCTTAATAATATAAAATACATTTGACAGTCAGTTAAAAAAAGTAATATGTAATTAAAAAAAATTCCAGACATACTCTGATATTCTTTGTTACCTGAAAAAAATACCAGTATATCTAGCTACATGAAGATACTAGTGTGGTAATCAGTGCCCACAATTTGACTTTTAATGATTGTAATAAAGATTATTAATAGTCGATTAAAAAATAAATAAAATTGCAGTGCTTATATTTTGAAATTAAAACATGTATCAGGCATAGAAACAAACTGGATAATATTCAGTTAGAAAATGATTCTACCCTGTCATGATATATTGTATTTATGATGTACAGCATTCAATCTCAAGTTCCATAAATTCATAGAGAAGTCTTACCCCTCATCCTCATATGATCTGTACTTTAATAACATGACATTTGCCCTTAGACTATTTGAATGTTTCCCAGGGAATCCGTGAATGAAGACAGGTCTAGCACATCTTTGAGGCAGTCTCAGCATAGCTGTGGGTATTCTGACTCAACCCACCCCCTCCAGATAGGGATATACGCCATTGGTAGAGCATATGCTGGTTCATTCTCCCACAATGAAAAGCAAAAAAAAAAAAAAAATCAAAAATAATAAAATTGGACTAAAAGGAAAATAAATTAAAATTAATTTCAAAGGGAAAGTGTATTTTGCAAAGCAGGCAATAGCACTCAATATAAAAATAATTTGAAATTTAAAAGAAAAGTTTTTATATTTATTTTAAGAATGACCAAAAACGATGCAAAATTTCAAGACAGGATAAGAAATTGAAAATAGTTAGTGTGTCACATATTGTTGTCTTTAAGTAGTTGCTTAGATTAGATGATGTAGGTTTGAAAAATTAACCAACCAATAAAAAAAAATTATCATTGTTCTCTACAAGACATTTTTCACGTTGAAGATGGATGTAGTGAATATAAAAATTGAGTGGAAATTTCATCAAAAGAAATGATCTTACCTGTGTCATTGGAGATCTCATTGTCTGCACAAGGGGTGCAATCAAAACAGCAGGCAGCCTTTCCCTCCTGAGGGCTTTTTCTAAATCTAAGGCTGCAACTCTCACTGCATACTGAACGGGGAGTCTAAGGAAAAATATGAGGGTAATTTGTTAGACTTTCACTTTCTTTTCAGAGCTAAAGGTTGTACTTAATTTTCATACCTACATAAAACTATCTATATGAATGTCAAATTTATTTCACAAGATGAAACATATATCTTCAAATATATAAATAAATAAATGCATGTGCTTCTCAATCTTCAAATGCTGATAAACCAGAATTTTTCAAGTTGAAAATTCAGCTATTCAGTTTCCACTGGGATGAAGTTTAACTGTTTCATGTGCAATATTTGAGACAACATCCTCTGACAATATGTAGCTTTTCGTGGTTAAGGAAATGGGTCATGGTTAGGTCCAACACACCTCTGTGATCCTTGTGGCCCACTCTATTGTATCCTCAGATAAAGTTATTTTACAACCGTGTGGAGCACGTGAAGAAAAATTTCCTAATTTTACCTTCAGTCTAAGGCCTTCTGGAAAATTCCAAAAATTGAGAATGTCATACTCTGAATCCAGTTTCCTTCTGTCATCCAAGCTCACTTTATCTCCAGCAGGATTGTTAAATTGGACTTTCTTTAGAAAGCGATGCAGCTGAAAGAGACACATCATCCTATATGAACAGAGCTCCAGGAGAAAGACAGAAAATATAAGTGGCAGAAAATCCTTAAACTACTGTAATTCCTTTCATAAAAAGCAATTTGAACACTAGTGTCTGTTGAATTACAACACATGAATATTTAGTTTAAGGACTAAAATATCAGCCTGTTCCAAAAATGTCAGTGAGTTTCTGGAAGCAATAATCCATGCAAACCCATGTAAATAAAGTTTGGGGACAGGAACAGAACTCTGTTGACACAGCACCTGCCTGAAAAATGCAAACACTTCAAGTCTGTTTATGGTACCTCCAAAATAAAATACTATTAAAATAAATTCCGTTCTGTTAGGCAGAAACATTAAATAATGAACGAAAGCTTCTAATACCCACAATGTCAACTGCATAGCTCACTATTCACACAGCAACAATATGAGTCATCAATATCAGAAGATTTTGCAAAATTAAAAGGAAAATTCTCATAATATGGGCAGTGTAGCTTTTAATGCCATTTAGTTTCCTGAGTGACTTCACATTTTCTGAATGCGCTTTAAGAATGCCACAGGACCTGTTCAGGTGGCAAAGATGTTAATGTCCTATAATTAGAAGCACTGCGATGGCCTCCTGATTTTGCCCCTTTCCAGTGGCTCCTTGATTGAGGAACATTTCAACTCATGTCAAGAATTATCTATGTGAAATACAAAATCAATAGTTATCATAGTTCATCCATACGTAAATTGTGCTTGTTAGTTTTTTTTTTAATTTTTACTGAAAAACCAATAGCAATGAGGTCGTTGCAAAACAGGTTATTAGGACAGATACAATAGTTTACACATTGCATATGGTTGTCTTCATAGTAATTATTCATAGTACAACATGCAGACATGATATTCTGTCCAAACACTATTAGTACAATTCTTTATTCTCATTGAATTAAGAGAAAGTAGCTATATATATATATATATATATATATATATATATATATATATATATATATGTGTGTGTGTGTGTGTAATTTTTTTCACTACAAAATAGTCCTTCATTTACATCCCCTTTTATTTTAATTTTGTCAATGGTAGGTATTCCATTGCCCTTTAAATGTCTTAATTGCACATTCTCTAAGTCTTTAAGAGAGAGCAAATTGGTCAAGCAATGGCCATGACTCATCCACATGGCTCACACTTACAAAAGATGTACAATCTGCGATACAAGGTTTCAGGGTCGATCTTGAGGGAATTTGACTGACCTTGAGAGACACAAAAATTAAATTTCTTGTTATATATGTCTTGCTTTATCTTGGTCTTAACCATCCAGCAGAAAAGTATAAAAAAGAGGTATAAAAAGTAAAGCCATATTAATATGCTGAGCTGTAAAAGGCTCAATTCAACAACTTCTGACATTGCCAGTCAAACGATAACTTGTGCTTATTGTTAATTGTACTACTGTAGCTGGGCTACCATATCCGTTGTAGTTAGTTATTTTCCCTTGTTTAAAAGTATTGAGAAGCTCTGGGGTAATAACCTCATCACAACCAAAACACTGGGAATGAACCAAACAGAAACTAATATCCCACACTCAATTAATTGGAAAGGTAGGATGTTGGGAAGGATACAAACTAAGAATCTCTTAGCATAAAAGATATCCTTGAAATGAGGATTATTCTGGGAAACGCTTCAATACTAGTGACATAAAATCTACTCACAAATTAACAAAGATCACCACAGAAAATAATTAAAAATATTTTGAAATGTCGAAACAAGGGATCACAATGCAATCTTACACTTCCAGTTTACCCAGAAAAAGACCACGAGATATTAACATAGAAGAAATTGGAAGTCTAACACCTGGAATTTCTGAATGATAGCAACTGAAATTAAAAAACAAACAAACAAACAAACAAACAAACAAAAACCTCCAGTGGCTATAGAAGAAAATACATCAGAAATAATCTCTCACATTAAAAAATAATGATAATGAAAGAATTTGTCAGAACTTCTAAAAATGACATAAATCAAAATAGAGCATATAAAGTATGGGAAGTTAAAAGAACAATATAAGGAAGAATTAGAATGCATAAACAGGTTCAGGAAATTAAAAATTCCATCGAATACTGGCAAAATTGCTTCAACAATACTTTCACAACTTGAAGACAAAGAAAAACTTTCAGACCTTGAAGACAACACTACAGTTGGTGGTCATGTAAGGAATGATCTCTTAAAAATAACAAGTAACCAAGAAATAAGGATTCAATAACTGCAAGATCACACAAAGGAAAATCAACATAAAAAGATAGGTTTCAATGGAAAAAACAGGAGTCAATACAAGTGACATAAAAAGGTTATTTGCAGAAGTCATAGCAGTAAGTTTCACAAACATGGGAAAAAGAATATGACACACAAATAAGGGAAGCATATAGAAATCCAATTTGCCATACATAAAATAAATACCTTCCAGATATAGAACAAACAAGATTCCAAAAATTCAGCACAAGAACAGCATATTAAAAGCTATTAGAACTCATTGTGTTGTCCAGAAACCTTGGAAAAGCCTAAGACAGCTACAGGGATATAGGAGAACCTGCCCTGCACCCATATCACCAAGGGAGGTTTGGTGAAACCTATCCTGCCTTCTATTATTGCAGGAGAATTGCAAAGCTCAGCTCACCCCCTCAATCACTGCAGGAGCCTTGTGGAGCTGCAGCTCTACCCCAGCTACCATCATGAAACCCTCATTGAACCAAGGAAAGCAAGAACCTTTGTGATTCATGCTGCGACACTTCACCATTACTGCTGAGCTAGGGTGAACACTGGAATAGCTCCAGATATGTCAACGCAAAGGAAGAAAGGACAATCTCAGACCTCCAGCCCACCCAGAAAAAGTTCAGGAGGAAAGGACATAGAAGAACTTAGATGTCACAAACATTGAGAAAAGATAGCAACTAAAGCAAAGCAAAGAAACAGTCCCATCAGACTATAGAAATAATCTCTCAGATATAAAAAGGGCAACAATCATAAATGAATTTCTCAGTGGATCTAAAGAAGACATAGATAATAAAAACAGAAGAGAACAGAAAAATAATGGAAGCATTCAATGAACAGTACAATAAAAATGGGCAATAAAAATTAGAATGCATGAAACAAATTCAAACAGATATTCAGGAAATTAAGAATTCCACTAAAAGATGGCGAAAGACCTTAAAATAAGCATTATAGCTAGTGATCACAAAAGAAAACATCTCTTAAAAATAACAAGGAAAGAGCAATTAACAGTTCAACATTGCAGGACAATGGAAATAAAAACAATGTAAGGCACAGGTATCAATGAAACAGCAGATGTCAATACAAATGACATTAAAAAAATCTATTTACAGGAGTAATAGAATAAAATATTCCAAGCATAGGAAAAGAATCTGACATACAGGTGAGTGAGGTATTTAGAAGTCCAATTAGCTATAACAAAAAATAAATCTACACCCACACAAATACTAATCAAGATCCCAGAAATTCAGCGAAAGAACACAATATTAAAATCTGTTGCACAAAAAATCTAGATCAATGATAATGGAAAGTGCTTCAGACACATGTCAAATTACTCAACAAAAATCTTCAAGTAAACAAGAGTTTACAACTGGCAGAATTCAGCCAAGAGCAGCTTGCTGAATGATCCAGCAGGCTATACTTGGTTCAGAGAAGCTTGATGAGTGGTCCAGGTGGAACTCTACACTGAGTTGCTCCATGTGTGACCCAATGGGAGAAATTCAATGAATTTTCATGGAAGGAGGGACAGAGGCCTGTGGCTGGGCCTCGTGAGCTGAGGCACATTGCTAGATTGCACGATTGGTTCCATACTGAGGCCTAGACCTACAGAAAGATCCTTGTGGCACAGAGGTGGCAGGAGGTAACTTAGAAGCCTCCAGAGCAGAGCACAATGCCAAGCCGAAACCAATACCACACTCTCAATAGAGAAAGTAAAAGCTTGGGACACAACAATACAAGAATGGTTGAAATAGGAGAGGTACCTCAAGGACAGGTTCATTACAGAGAGGTCTTGATTCCAAGTACCTGCCATCAAACTTTAACAAAAAATTATCACAGAAATCAAATAAGGAGTTCTCTTTGAAACATAAAGAACACAGCACAATGCATTACCAGGCTCTGAATCCATGAAGAACAAATTCAGAAGATACTGGCAAAAAGAAGTTGGAAGTCATGCACCTGAAATCTCTTGAAACAATAGCAACTGAAGTAAAGAAACTACTGCAGAGGGTTATAGAAGAAATCAGATCAGAAATAATCTTCCAAGTGTAAAAAATTGATAACTATAATGAAAGAATTACTAAGCCTTTATAAAAAGACAATGAGAAATAAAATAGAGAATAGAAAAATAATGGAAATCATGAATGAGCAATATAAGAAAGAAACAGTATGTATGAAGCATATTCAAAGAGATATATAAGAAATGAAAACTCCATTAAAAGTGGGAAAAACCATTTGAATGAATGTGAAGATAGACTTTCAGACCTTGAAGAAATCATTATGACTAGTGAAAAATTAAGGAAAGACATCTTAAAATAACAAGTTTCAGGGCTGGGGAGATAGCTCAGCAGACTAAACAACTGCTCAGGCAAGCACAAGGATCAGGTTTTGATCTCTGGCACCACATGCTGCCCCAGCCTCACCCTTGAGGGCACGGAGCCTGCCATGAAGACCAGGTCTGGTGGCACATGCCTATAATCCCAGCGCTGCAGTGTCTGAAAACAGAATAATCACTGTGAGTCCAAACTGCATAGTGAGACACTGTATCCAACAAATGAGAGAAACAAAGATCCAGAAAATAAAAATTCAACAGCTGTAAGATGATGCAAAGATGAACAACAAAAGACTAATAGGCACCAATGTGAAAGAAGGAAGCAACACAGAAGTAAAGGAGAAAACTTCCCCCAAAGGGGGAAACAATCTGATATGCGGATAAGTGAGGTATATAGAATTCAAAATAATATAAACCCAATTAAATCTACA